ATTTGTATTGATAAATTGAGTGTGGAATATTTGGGATATTTGGAAGGCATAAATTTGGAGTTTCCGAGGCGTTGACTCTGCCGAATGGCCCAATGACGCCAGAACGATTAATCGAGGGCATTGATTGCTCTCACGCTTGCCAAACTTCCAGCCCCCCGACCCCCAACCCTTGTACGACCCCCTGGAAGACGAGATTATCCTCGCTTCAATGAACAACCCGACAGGGGGATGATTTTATGCGTTGTGTACGCGTCCTGCCACCCCATCCCCCTCTCTCGCGTATGATCGATCTCATTGCGACTAATCTCGCACTTACTACAGGATTTTTCAACCGATAAATCAAATTATTACCAAAAATTATACGAAAAATACTTCCCCCCACCCACACGTGATAATTTCTCTATAATCCCTCGAGATGTGAAAGAAATAATTTAAATTTTCAGAATGACAATAATTTGCAGAGAAGCAACAAATTATCTGGAAGAAATGATTATTCAGTCATGAGGGGATTGATTTTTGATAATTGACAATTAATTTTATTGAATGATGAATTGATTATTTAATTGCAATTTTTTATTGTAAATGTTTCGTTGAGAAATTGATTTACGAATGATCTGATGGAGGAGTTTTGCATTTTATTTAATAAATCGATATTAATGGAGGAGTTTTAGAATTTATTAATGATGATTTTGGAGATTAATAATCTAGAAAATTCCAGAGGAAACTCAAGAGTTCTGAGTCCATCCCTTAATCAATAACAAAAAAAATGGATTTTTTCTCTGAGTGGCAACTGAATTTTTCCCATTCACTATCCCTTTAAAAAAAAGTATGTAACATTTATTGTCAGCTTTGTTTATGAAAATATACCGTTTTTAAAAAATAATGATTTGTCCAGAATAATAAAAAAAAATATTGTATTTATCGATTAAATTTAATTAAAGAAAAAAACACAAATTATGGGTAATTTTTTGAGATATTTAAGATTGAATATTTAGATTTTATATGTCAAATGCGCTAGCAATAATAAAAAATAATAATTGAAGAATAATGAAGTTTTCAATTCGCGTGGTAAAATGTTGGAAAAGTCACTTAAAAATTTTAATTTAAGTTCCCAGTCAGACTTTCACGCTAGAGTCACTATCCACCACCTCATCCCTTGATTTTTGGGGTGCCACTACCCCACATTTTTCACCCGCTGCCACCACTAGAATTGTTTACCAATTCTGATGAAATCCGCGACTCCCTCGAATGTTTAATTCTCCAATCGAGGAAAACTTTTACCGAGTGATAATTTTATTCATGGACTTTCCATCGATCTTCACTGATTGAAGACACGGATTTTCCGTCCAGATCACTTTTTTCTCGACAATTTTTAATTGATTCATTAATAATCAGTCAATCACCAGAAACACCAGTCGAGAATATAAATGAGTAATAAATCATCATTTACGATTAGCGCCTCAAGAATTCCCTGATATCTCAATAAATGTTATTAATGACTTAATTACTTACTAATTACACTTGAGAGTTATGAATTGATTTTGTGATTTTGTGATTTTGTGAAATGAAAAAATTATAACAAAAATAAATGAAAAATTAAACTCATGATTGAAAAATCTCGCGATTAATTTTTGATTATTTCACCTGAACTCAGTTGACTGTTAATTAAAAAATTAAAAACACTGACTGACCACTTCAATTACTCCAATTATTTATAATAAATACCCAAGACCGCGTCATGTTGTTCTCCTCCTGCTGTCTCCTCCGTTTTCTATGTAGACTCCTAGTGTACAAATAACTCGCGAAATTACCGAAACCACAGCAATTTAAATCGAG